TTTTTTTTTTCTTTTCCCAGCCAGCTTTTATCTCTTGCAGTCTCCTCTTCTACTGGATCTCTTGCAGTGTCGAGTTCTTTAGTTCCTTCACAGTCTGTCACGATTCCCGCCATGAATCCTGTGTTGATCAAACAATGTTGGATGGTAGCTGCAATCCGCCAAAATTTAAGTAGTCAACTTGAGGGTTGGTGGGGAAGGCTTGCTTTCCATCCCATGCCCTCCTTGACTACTCATGCATCAAATTCACTCAACTGCTGTAAGTGTGAATGGCTTATCCTTCATTTCTTCTTCTTCTTTTGAAGTGCTAAAATCTCCAATTTTTATTCCTTTTCAAGATCTTCTGCCTTTTACAAACTAATGATATATTGTGATAAATAAGTTACTGCATTACAAACACCTAAACAAAAGTGAATCAAAGTCTTGCTGTAAAATGTAGTTTTAGTGATTTTGAATCTCAACTTTGGCTGTAGTTTGCATAAAATATAACTGAATGACAATTATCTTGACTTCATGTCAAATACAAAACTAAAATCCCTTTATACAACTTATTATTTCACGCGCTCTGCTCTCTTCTTTCAACTAGCAACGACCACCATTTTTTAACTATTTCTGATTTCCTACTATAATAATTCAATAGATCGGGAAACGATATGCTTCCGCCAATTTACTAACATTCTCATCCCTCAAACTTTATCTAAACCTCTTTGTTATTCAGACATCTCTCTTCAAGACCCCACTTTCCCGGTGCAAGACAAGATCCTGATAAACAATCATGGGGACTTAACTACCCTAACCCGGAGGATCCTCCTTGGAGTCCAAACACACGATACTCCCTTGAAAAACGGCCAACTCTCTCACACCAAGTCCTTTCCTACTACTAGCCCACAACAACCCAGTCAAAACACCCCAAACCCCATGTCAGCCTTCATCTCAAGGGCCTTTTCCCAGGCAGCCAACCAGCTGAAGCACGACTTTCTCTGCCTTCTCCAAGAAACGGACCCCAAAGACCACAAAACCATGAGGCTGGCAGCACAAGACACGTTTGCCGCCCTCGACCTTCTGTTGTCTGATCACCAAGACCTGCGGGCCCATGTGGAGGAGTACATATCCCACGCTTCATCATTGGCCGAGATTGAAAGGAGGGATGAGATGCATCGAGAGCTGGCCGAGCAGTGGTTGGACGAGCAGAGAAGGCTGGACGAGATGGGGTCGGCCCAAGCAGAGGCGGTCGAGTCTGCAGGCGAGTGCAGAAGGCGGATGGAGAGGGTGCAGGAGAAAGTGTCCTCAGCCATGGAGTGGCTGTTTCAGGTGGAGGCCGAGTTGTCGAGCTATGAGGTCGAGATGAGGGGTATGGAGAAGGAGCTCGGGAGGATGTGTGAAGGCAAGAAGGCACTTGAGGAAAAGTATGCTACTGTTGGCGAGGAATTGGCGAAGTCGAAAGAGGTTATGGAGAGGAAAGAGGCAGCTAAGGCCGCGTTTGAGCAGGCGAGAAGGTTGCTCTGGGGTTAAAGGCTAAAAGGGTGATTCTGTTACTGGGTGTTAAGTTTGTTTGTGTATAATATTAATGTGTCTCTAGTCCTTAATATTTTTGCTTTGGAGCAAGGTTGGATTTTTCCATTTTAATAAATTGAACGGATTATTATTAAGCTACCATCCCCTATTGTAATGTAATATAATATGCGACATCTTTAGTGTTTTGTTCTGGCTTTGGAATAACGTGTAAATGGCGAGCACGACTGATGACTGGTGTATATGTTGATGGTAACTTCCATGTCTTTGGTCTGTAAATTATTGGATACTAGTATTTGACTTGTGCATTTGCACAGATATATAAATAAAGTATTGTGAGTTATTTGTATACATATAATGATTAATGATTTTTGTCAAATTTACAATTAAAGGAGCTGAAATATTTATTTTTTTTAATTGCGTTTATCATATTGGATGTAATGTATATTTGGTATGTATTTCTCTATGAATTATTTATTATTTATTTAGAAATTTCAAATACATTTTTTATTTTGAAAAAGAAGTTAATTTAAATGTAACCACAACAATAACATCTAATCACGTTGAATAGTCAACACATTATATGGTCAACTGTCAGTAAATCAAAAATTTAAAATGACTTTTGTAATTTTGAAGTGATTAGTGTATTGATTATCAAATAATTAAATGAGAGGTTAAATAAATAAAAAAAATAATGATTTTTGAAGTGAAAAAATTATATTGCCACATAGGTATAATTTAATAAATTTTATCTAATGTTCATGAACCAACAATTATACTATATATATATATATATAGATGTGAATGAAACTTTGCCAACTTGCATGTGAACATAACCCCGCTGGCAGATGGACCACACAGTGTTGGGGTTGTAGCCGAGGAGCGGGTGGAGGTGGCTTGGCTGGATATTTTTTTGTCTTTTTTTTTTTTTTTTAATTTAAATATATATACTAGTAGGTATCCGTGTTAAATATAATTTTATTATCGTTATGGTACATGAAAAAATATTCGAAATAATTTTATAAAATAAATATCGTGTTCATATTAAAATTTATTTTACAAATTAACATGTTTACTCATAATTTTTAAACCCAGTTCGGGAATCGACCTAAGCAAATTCACAAGTCGCTGGTTCAACCGCAGAGTCACTAGGTAAACACTGAAGCGAATAATTAATTTTGAAGTTTCTAAAATTATATATATAGTATATTTATAAATATGCATAAAAGTAACAATATTTTTTTAGGGGAAAAAACATTATAAAAATAACATCTTCATAAAAAATATGTTGATTTTAAGCATGATGACATAAGTGAAAATCCGCATTTGCTCCTACTTATTTATAGGCTAATAAAGTTTTGAAATATATTGTACAATATTTTTGCATCTCATTTATCATGAATTAATTAGTAAAAAAAAAAATTGTACATTTTTTGTTAAGTTACCAAATTAAATAATCATCATATGTAAGAAAACCAATCAAAACTATAATTTGCAACAAAAAAATTTAAGACTTGTGAAAGAATTATGATATAGCCACGGCTAGTACTGCCGGGTGACATATTTGTCCCATCAAATTATATATTAGTTATATTTATCTTTTAAAGTTTATTAAAAATAAACTGAGTATTATCACGAAAGAATAGTAATATATTGTTTTTTACCTTCACTAAATTTTTTTAGAAAGTGTTCTTAATAAAATAATTTAAAATAATTTTCTCACGTACTCTTCAAATAAGTCATTACCAATTTGCAACAAATAATTTAAAACTTGTGAAAGAATTATGTATTAGTTATAATTATTTTTTATAGTTTGTTAAAAAATAAACTAACGTATTATATATCAAGAAAGAGAATAGTAATATATTTTTTTTACCTTTACTAAATTTTAGAAAGTGTTCTTAATAAAAATAATTTAAAATAATTTTTTCACGTACTCTTTAAATAAGTCATTAACCTTTACATATATAGAGATTGAATAAAGTCACATGAAAGAAACTTATTAACCTTTATATGTATAGATTGTGTAAAGTCATATGGAACTTGTGTATTGTAAAATATTTTACAATGAACTTAGTCAATAAAAAAGTATCTAAAATATTATATGCTATTGAATGGTATGTATTAAACTTTGGCTAATGTTGTATTTTGATCTTAGTTAGCATCCATACTCCAGATAAACAAGAAATATAAATATGATACTATATATAAACAAACTCTGAAAAATGTTTCAATTTGTAAAATAAGTGAAAAATAAATATTTTATATTTAGCCTCTCAAATAGTATAATAAGTGCATTAAATATTTTTAATGGGTTATAGCTCAGTTTAATGGTTTATAGTTAATTGTATGGTACAATATAATCGTTTGTTGTTTGTGATAGAAAAGGAAGAATCTTTTATCTCAGATTTGAAGCAGGGATGGACTGGATAGAACCATTGAGCATTATAGTCTCGTAAAAAAATAGAAATCAAGGCAAGATTTAAAGCAAAGCAAGATTTGAAGCATGGATGGACTGGATGAACCATTGAGCTTTATATAGTCTCCTAAAAATTAGAATAAGGCTAACTCACATTTGAAAATTAAAAAATAGAAATCAAGGCAAGATTTAAAGCAAAGCAAGATTTGAAGCATGGATGGACTGGATGAACCATTGAGCTTTATATAGTCTCCTAAAAATTAGAATAAGGCTAACTCACATTTGAAAATTCTATATCAGTATCTTGTTCTTTTGTTAGGCTTGTTTCATACAAGTAAATAAATAAAATTATTTCTTTATCATACTACTTGAAATAAATTTATAAAAAGGGATTGTAAATTTGATAAAATTATTGCTTTATCATTTATAAAAATGGATTGTAAATTTGATGATAATTTTTTTTTTATTTTAAAATAGTATAATATAAAAATCAATAAATTGTAGCAATAGTATAATTTAAATATAAAAAGTAATTTGTTATGCTAACTTTAAATATTAATCTCTCTTTGAAAGAAAAAATTGAAACATGTCTCTTCAAATTGGACTTTTTATATATAAAAAAAAATAATAATAATTTACTTTTTAAATAATTAACATTTTAAAGTTTTCGATCTCTGCATTTTTTTTAATATTTTCCCCTATTTTCCCAAATAGTTAGTCATTTATGAACAATCCTTCTAATTCCCCTATTTGATATGCTTTTGTCATTTTTTTTTTTTCATTATATCTTCACTGAGTTTTTATATTGAAATATTTCTATTAAATATTCACATGGGCCCTTTAATATTTCTAAACCCCTATTTAATATGTAAATATTTCTTTTTTTTTTTTGCTGTTTTTTCCTAGTTTAATTTCCTCTCATATTTTTTTATTTATTTTTTCATTGAGATTTGAGAGGTGCATATTTCAGATTGGAAATGTCTAGAAGCAGCGCTCTCTCACAGACAGCAGCTCACAAATATAATAGGGGAAAAAAAAAAGTTTAACTACATCATAATTGCTCTTGGTAAATGTCCCACATAATTACAACTGAGGTATTATTACATTTAACTCCCACATAATTACTGAATTTCATGTTTGAGTGTATTTTAATCTACATATAGAAATATCAATCCAATTAAGATAGTAGTGGTTAGTAGATTATAATTGATCTTGGCGAAGTCTTTGTATTAAGGTTAACAACCTCAACACCGCACAGAAAACCTTACTTAATCAACAGTGTCATTGTCGATATACAACTTAATTTAACTCTACCTAAGGACTAAAGTGCAAGACCTCACTTGACACTCCGACATCACTTGGCCGGCTCGTAACCGTAAGGGTTCTTGCTTGCCCAGTTCCACAGGTCTCTGCACATCTCGTCAATGCCGTATTTTGCCCTTTAGAAATGACCAAAATATGATTAGTTAGCCAACTATAATGCCTTTAATTGGCATGATAGAAGAATGAAGAATAACAGAGAAAAGAACAAAAAGAAGGAAAAAAGAAGGGCCTTACTTCCAGTTAAGCTCCCGTTCGGCTTTGTCTGTTTCAGCATATACAATCTCCGCATCTCCAGGTCGTCGATTGGCCATTATCAATGGAATTTTCTGAACCAAAAAATACCCAAATATTGGTATTTATATGTTGAAATAGTGGGACTATTAAGCGAATTCAAAATAAATAAAAACAGGAATTTGATAGTCTGAATGCTGTCATTAGAGAAGGCAGCAAGAGATCTACTCGATAACCAAAAGTGAGAGCCACTGAACACTGTCATAACACAATAATTTCTTTTACCTTATTAAAGTTAAGGTCTTACGTCATAGTGAAATATTTGAATTGTCGATGAGGCTTTTTGATGGATTCGTGCTACAATACCATGTAACATAACGAACATAAAGAATGATATACACTTTTTTGACACAATGCACGCGTAGCATGATCTTATTATTCTACACATCATTATTTTTAATATCAACAATCATAAAACTTCAACATCATAAAACTAAAATAATCAAATTAAAAGCAGAATTAGAGTAAGTTTTCTGGAAGCACTAGGCTTAGGCCAGCATGCAGGAAACAATCTGGTCTAGGGAAGATATACAAGCCCAGACACTTGCAGTCTAGCATTTATTAAAAAAAAATAAAAATAAAAAAAATAAAAAAAAATAAAAATAAAAAACTCAGAGGTGCAACTAGTTGTGCATATAATTCTGGAGTATTGATTTCATGAAGTTACCTTCCCTGATGCTTTTTCAAATGCTGCAACCATTTCTAAGACGGATGTACCACGTCCTGTCCCAAGATTGTATACCTCACAGCCTGCATTTTTACAGACATCATCAAAATTGAGGTCACTGGAAAATAAGCAAGACGGTATCCAGCAAAGGCTTAATTTAATTAATTAAACCAACAAAATGAAACAGTTATATGAAAACTGATTCACAACTGACTACTTCTCAACCATGGTAAAGATAATTTACATAACCCTAATGACATATAAAAGTATAAGCAAGAAATATAAAACGTTATATGGACGGATGACAGAAATAACAAGCTAACTTCAATACATAATAATTTTTGAAAACCAAATACATAGCCATTGTAATGAACTATACACTAAGCTCATACCTACAGAAGGATCAGAAAGCTTGTTCACAGCAGCAATATGGCCATCTGCTAAGTCCACAACATGGATGTAATCACGTACCTGAAATTATAAAATATATTCCAAAAAAGTTTAATTGTGATCTGTCGGTGGGGAAAGTTAGGGTACAGCTGGATTGAAATTTCAAAATAACATTTCACATTCAGTAGAACATGTTTAACTCAAAAGGCCAAGCAAGTGACCTTTTATGTTTACTAGTCCCTCTATTCTTTATCTAATATTCGTTTTAAAGTCTGTTAAAAATTAAGAAACAAGAAAAGTTGAGACAACCGCAAAATATTAAAAAAAAAAAAATCCCTATTAACCTTTCTCATAATTCTCTCACTACCATAAATTTGTCATCATTTCTTATAATGAGTAGGGATAAAGTTGGAACAAGTGATAAAAAGACCTAAAGGGCATTCGATGCATAACAAAATTAAGCCTCTAAAACAACAATTAAAAGGGAATCTCCAAACAGAATCTGTTTGAGTGTGTATCTGCAAATAAATCAAAGAACTCACTAACGTTACCTACCCCTGTTCCATCCTTTGTGCCATAGTCAGTTCCGTAAACAGTAAGCGCAGGCCGCCTTCCAACAGCCACTTGTTGCACAAAGGGCATAAGATTGTTTGGGATCCCTCTAGGATCTTCACCAATATGCCCACTTGGATGGGCACCCACAGGATTGAAATACCTCAGTAAAATGATTTTCCATGTTTTGTCCGACTGGTAAAGGTCCCGACATATCTCTTCTATAAAAAGCTGGAATCGAGATTACTCGTCAAATCATCTTATTGATAGCAGTAAAGTTCTAGCAAAAGTGAGAGAGTCTCACCTATATCAAGAATCATTAGAGTACACACAGGTAAGAAAGAAGAAAATCAATTTTAGAATCTTCAGTGAGCAATTCTTGGGATCCTTGAATAGTCTAATGTTGTTTTTGTTTTTTTTTTCCCATTTTTACCTATTATTAAGTACTTTGTACTCTTCTGTAATAATCTTCCCCTCATCCTTTACTCCTTACAACGAGCTCCATTCACAAAATAATGTGTTAGAAAGTAATAAGATCACCTTAGTCCGTCCATAAGGATTCATAGCACTAATAGGGGAGTCTTCAGTGCATGGGACCTCTTTCGGCCAGCCATACACAGTAGCTGATGATGAAAACACTAGCTGAAAATAAAGAATGAAGAAACTTCGTTTAAAATGAGAGAAATCGGTAGGAATCTAAAATAAGTATATTTTGTGAAGTCACAAAATATGGACAAGTTACTTTTTTACATCCATGGGCAGCCATGACTTCCAACAGCATAATAGTACCAACAATGTTATTGTCATAATACATCAAGGGTTTCTGCACACTTTCTCCAACTGCCTTTAACCCAGCAAAATGAATGACGGCATCAAACCTTCATTAGAAGCAAAAGTGATGTCAGTATGTCAAAATATTAAGGACAATGCGAGATTGAGGACAAATGTACAATGATTGTAAACTCCAATGTTGATTCTCAATGTAATATAAGGTACTAAAGTATGGTATATAGCAGAACCTTAAAGAAAAATAGAAACAACACTAATTTATACGGAATTCATTTTGTTCTGTCCTGAAGACTTGACATATTAGAATCTCAGTAAATGAATAAAAAAAGTTGTAGCTAAGAGAACATCCATGTTATGAGAAAGAAATAAAAAGGAACAATCATCCCTCAATCATGTGCCCGAGTTCCTACAAGACCAAATTTGAGACTCGAGAGTTAAATGGTAAAAGAAAGACCATAAAATATACATTGGACACTATGTTACAGACTTACAGTAAATACATGTATACCATTTTATTCTCAGATGACGTCTTACAGGACATGTAATTTGAAACACAAACAACTTTAGCTCTCAAGTACCGTGCTTTCTTTTTCAGCATATGCTGAATATTTGAAGGATAATTTAGGGTCTTTGTGGTGACAACTTTAAAGAGATTAAACATTTCAAACATGATACTCATATACAACTTTCTCAGATCAGAACCAAGTATAGGCATATCGTGCTCATCAATGAAGGATTCTTCACCAATGAATACCTACTTTTCAGAAACAAAAAGTTTCTCAAGTGCCGGCTTATCCCGAAGATCTATCTGCAACCAATTAAAATGATACAAAAAAAGTCAAAATAATTGACAATTGGAGTAAAGATAATATTTTCAGAGAACTACAACAGCTCATACTTCATTTGGTAACAAGAAATACATCGAGCACATCAAACTGACCCAGTAAATTTGACATCCTTTCCTGACTTGATCATTACTTCGAGAAAATGCCAACAAATAGTGTAAAAAAAAAAAAAAAAAAAAAATCCTTAACAAGAACTTCACATATGAAATATCAGAAAGAACCAAGATCGAAAAAATTCTATGAACAATCCGTTCTAGATAGTAAATAGCTGGCGCCACGAAATTTCTTGGAATAGATCAACACTCCCACCAGCATAGTAAGTTAAAAACAATTCAACAAAACATGAATTGCGCATCAATTCGCAAGCTTGTTAAAAGCATCAATTGTTTGCAAAATTTGCCATTTTTCCCCTAATCAAGAAATAAAATGATCACGAAATACCAAAAATAACACAAATCAAGCAAGTAAGAGTGACCCTCTTCTCGTGTACCACATCACTCAATCATACACCTACGTACTGCCCAAAATCAAGCCTATGAACTAACACACAACTCAAAACACGAAGAACAATAAGACCCAAATACATAAAAAGTCCAGATAAAAAGACAAAAAAATCAAACTTTATGAAAGGTCATGTTAGAGCCATGTTTGCCGGCGAGCTCCTGAACCCTTTTGATGGCAACTTCCGATGAATTATCCAAATTGTCCACCACAACCGCCTTGTACCCGCCCAGCAGCAGCTGCAGCACCGTGTGACTCCCAATGTAACCCGCGCCACCCGTCACAAGTATCCTCGAGGACATCGTCGCGATGAGTTTGATGCACTGAATCGAATGAAAAATGGGGAAAAAATGGGGGATTCGAGAATGCGCCGATTATGATTTTGTTGATCGGAGCCCAATACATGCGCTATATATCCAAATAAGCACCGATAGCGTTAGGTCGCTGATCATCTCAGAAAGTTATGGCTTTATTAGATACTGAGAGCTTTCTTTTTGGGTGGCGAAAGAAGAATAAAGTGAAATCAAATGAAACACGGATTCGTTCATAGTGTATTTATTAAAAAATACAAAAATATACTTTTTTTGGGAAATGTTATTTACGGAATTTTTGTATTTATTAAAAAATACAAAAATATAGTGTATTTGGGACTGTAACAATTAGATCATTATATAACCGTCGGAATAGTTAATCTAGCGATTACAACATTGATGGAATAGTTCCGTAACTGTAGCATTTTCCTATTATCATACAACACCCAGTGCTACTACCGTGTGCCTTGGCACACCTAGCAAGATGTGCCAAGGCAGTTTAAAATGAACATGTTACTTTATAAAATAAACATGTGTAAAGTTTACACATGTTCATTTTATAAAGTAACATGTTTATTTTAAAAAAGTTTTGGCCCACCTTGCTAGGTGTGACAAGGCATACTTAAGTATTTGCGATACAGCACCCGCTCCAAGTAGAATCATGAAAAATATTTTAATAAAATTAAAAACCAAGTAGAGCTGTAATAAAAATGACGAGACAACAAGCGAAAGCTTCTAACTAAAGAGTAATGCTCCTTTACTCACAGTAAGCAAAGTTAATATGCCAACTGCTTTTGTGGCATGCACACATTGATGATGTTAATATTTTCAAAAAAATAAATCGTGCATGTCACATAAGCGGTAAAATATTAACATGTACCCACCGTAGGTAGGGCAGCATTACTCTCTCTAACTAAAATAGTACAATTTTCTAATGGCTCTTGGTAAAATCAAAAAATTCAACCTAGGGGAACTCCCAAAGCAAGCTAAGATAGGCCCTAAAGTAATAGCCATCAACTCTATATCTGATTTTTTAAATAAAAAATAGGGAATGAGCCAAAAGGGTTCAATTGATAGGGCAAACCGGCAAAAAATACAATATGTTTGATTTTTCCTTTTTTTTTTTAAATGTAATAGAACATGTTTGTATACAAAATTTCCATTCAACATAGACCTAAGGTGCATTTGTTAAAGAAATAATTTGAATGAATTAACTCAAAGTAAATTTTTTTAGTTAATTATGATTATTTAGAAAAAGTTGTGTAATTTATTGTTAGTAGGATTATATTAAAATAATATTTAAAATAAAATTATTAAAATTTATTTTATGTAAAAGTAGGAGAGTAATGATATAAAGTAATGATTAGTTTAAAATATATGAGTGGCTGAATAGTAAATTAAAGTTGATATGATGTGTAAAATAATTAGTTGTTATTATTTAATGATAGATTGTTACTATTTAATTATATTGGTAATGTTGAGGATAGTGGGTTATTTAATTATATTGGTAATATTGAGGATAGTGGGTGTTGAATAAGTTGAGTTAGATTTTGAGTATAATTAATTTGATTTGAGTTTTTCCTTTAACAAACACATCCTAAATGTTATGGGGAAAAGCAGCCAACACATGAAACTCAACTTCAATATCATCAATATTATCTAGTAGTGAAATAAACTTCACTCGGTCCTGGTTCGGACTATTTGATGGTGAAATAGCTCCCTCGACCTCAAAGCCTCCATCTTCGACCTCGAACGACCTTGTACCTACAAGAACTCGACACCGAAAAGGGGTTTATCGGTGAAAAACCTCCGATGCTTAAATTAATAGCAACTCCAAATGATGAACAATATATTAAGTATGAAAGTATGCGTGGAATGTAACCCTAAAACTAACCCATTACTCCTCTTTATATAGGAAAGTGGTATCTTGTTCCCCAAGCTTGAACGAAGCATTTACCCAGTTGCCCCGGCTGCCCGTCCGTACGACTCTGTTGTGCCTGCAGGATCTCAGGTTGTCGGGTGCCAGAGATGCAGGCCACCCAATCATCTCTTACCTCTTGGCTCAATCTTCCTTTAGCGTCACTCTCTAGGTGAAGATGCTCTTTGGGGGCCCCCTCGTGGTCGAACTTCCTCACCAAGTCAAAGCCTCCCCCTGTTAGAACTTACTCTTCTTCATCTCTCCCATTTATCGAGTGGAGTAAGTTTGACTCGACCTCTCGGCCATTATGCTTAGGTCGAGTACGGATTCCTTAGATCCGATCTGGCTGTGGGGTTTACTTTGTAGGTTCGAATTGATGTTATACAATATATCATCTAGTCCCCCCACTCTGGATCGAGCTGCTTATAGCTTGATTCGACAATGTATTTTATCGAACTTCTGCTTTGGTTTGTGACCTTCTTTTGCCTCTTCGACCTTCTATGATGAAAAGTTCTTTTTCTTGCCTTTAAGTCGAGTTGTTTCGTGTTTGCTAATTTCAAATTTCAAACACTTTGTTTGGATGTGACTTCTTGCATCCTTTAGAAGTCACTGCTTGAATTGTCGTGACCCCTCGTGTCCCGTGTCTGTTAAGCTTTTTGTCGTTAATGCGCGTCTTTTCACTTCCTTCTTCGATCCCCACCATCGATCTCGGATCCATCCAATGGCTCAAAACGCTCAATCTTTGCATCTCCGTGTTTATCTTCACTCTCTGTTCACTTGTGTGTCGTCGATCTCCGTCATCACTATGCTTAATTTCCTCGGGAATTTCAGCTTCTGGACACATGCACCATGTTCGTCCCTGAGTAAGTATTTCCTCTTACTAAAGCTTTTTGTTGTATATGATAAGATCTTATGTTTTCGTTTAAATTTGGGTGAGATTCCTTCTATCTCCTTTGTGCCTTTTTTTATTTTCCATATTATCTCAAAACCTTTGTTTATGGATGAATTCGATCAACGGTTAAAATGAAGCTTAAAGAGGATAAAAATGAGAGATAAGAAAGATGTACGAGAAAATAGAATTTTATTACTTAATTACGAGGTCAGCCTCTGATATTGAGGTCGACATTTTAGTTACATTTGAGAGTATTCACGGGAATTTATTAAAGATTCTAGAGAGAAAAGGTAGTAGTCGGAAGATTCAACTACCCTCATAAATAATTTGGGTTTTATATTTATATTGTTTCCAGATTCGACACTGTTCACGTACTGTTTATCCATCTTGTCGTACAATAATTCTGACAGGCAGGTCAGCGCGGCTCTGGCAGATTAAGTGCGATTTGAGGTTTCTTCAATCATTATCTTTTAGGCAATTAATGCACACATGAGGGGCATTTAATGCTGTCAGGCCTTACTATCGGGCTAGATCCAATAGGGTGTTAAACTAGGTTGATACATCTCATCAGCAATCTTCAATCGTCAAGTGACAATATTATATTATATTCGAACATTGCGTCGGTACGAGAGCCGATCACGAAGAATCTTCAGGTCAGACTTTTTAACACTTATCGATTCCTCGGTCTTCGGGATTCATTTCTAAGCTCGGACCCATGTAGGCCGGCCTCGCCGCTGGATGGTCGAGGTGCCGATCTCAGAGATGACTCCGTCTATTGTCCTGGTTGACTTAATTCTTCATTCGGTTCGACACTTTATGATTATTCGAGATATCAGTCTGGGATTAGGAGTCGACTCTTCCAGGTTCATTTTCGGCTAACTCGGATATCAACAACCTTTTCACTTTCCGCACCCATTCTTCCCAAACGCCTAAATCTTTCGCTTTGTCTTCCTTTTTTAGATCTGCATGCTAGCTCGGCTCCTAGAGCCCTCCGCTCGACTCGACTTCGATTCTTCCAGCTCGAGACCCTCGTCCAATTCTTTGCCGTATTCCTCTCTATAGCAAGCCTCTCAACTCATCTCGACCTCTCGCATTTGGTTCGGCCTCCCAAGTTGGTCCTTCAAGGCGTCGCCGCCATATAATCCGTGACTCATCCCAGAAATAAGAAGAAGCCATATACATCTTCGCACAATTCGGCCACCATCTCCCTCATTCGACCTTCTTGCCTTCAACCTGAGGTCGAGTTGGATGAGGTCGACCCAACTAGGAATTTTCTACCTTATATGACATAGAATCGGACCGTCAGTCTAGTGAGTTTTGCCACCTTCCAACTGATGACCCTCGGGTACGGGCACTCGGGATTTCTGCTGACTGGGGTTACACTGCCCCCGATGCTTTTGATATCCACGAGCTCTCCTCCATCGGTCGTTATACCTTTTTCGAGGATCAAGTCAAAGTGGGTCTTTGATTTTATCTGAGTTCGGTCTTACTCGAACTTTGCTGCCTCTACCAGATTCCTCTTAATCAGCTGTCTTCCAACTCCATGCGTTATTTATATCCTTCGTTGTTCTTTCTCACTATCGATTAGGCAAAGTCGACCCCAATTTCTTCCGCTATCGTTTTGTGGTTAAGCACCAAGGCAAAGGCATCTAGTCGCATCTCGCTATGGTGCCGATTTTATTGTCGATAAGCCTAGCAATGTCCTAAACTGAAATAGGAGATTTTTCTTTCTTCGACCTCCTTTTCCTCTACCATTTCTCCCTATGCGTTGGTTGATTTATCCTCCTTTCTTTATGACCCACCGTCTCGTAGTTCTACCTATAACCTCCCCATGCTCTGCTTGGGGTTAATCGAAAGTTACCTCATCCATACTACTCAAAGGACGAGCGACTTCTGTATCACTATAGTCTCTCGACCCATGTGGACAACCTATTGTTCGACAAAGAACTTGGTATGGTTAGATTGTGCAATCTATCTTTCGACCAGTATGGTGTTTTCCATATTGCTCAAGGACGAACGACTTCTGTATCATTTCCTCATTGTGTGTACTGATTTTTTTCCTTCTACAGAGAGATGTCATGAAATGGCCAGAGCTCTTGTTTCTTCGGCCAGCTATAAGGGAGGTCAAGAGACCTCTCAAAGACAGAAGGGTCCTCAGACCTCCCAGGATCGTCGACCTCC